TCCCAGAAGTAAACCGGCAAGAAGAGGAGAAGGGAGGAAGACGAAGAAAGCAGGGCCGCAGAAAAGGCAAAACCGGAAAACCACACCAGAAGCCAGCGTAGCCCGCGACCCACCCCGCGACCCGCCCGCTGCCCACCCCGCGACCCACCCGCGACCCACCCCGGGACCCACCCCGCGACCCGCCCGCGACCCACCCGCGACCCACCCCGCGACCCACCCGCGACCCACCCGCGACCCAAACCACGTTCAAGGTACAAACCACCATTTTCGGCGATTGCGGCGGGTTTTTCTGCATTCCTTCCAAGTGGAGAGACCGCGACCCACCCCGTGACCAACTCGCGACCAACCCGCGACCCAAACCACGTTCAGGGTACAAACCACATTTTTCGGCGCCTGCGGCGGGCATCTTTTGCATTCGTTTCAGGTGGAGAGCCTGCGGCCCACCCGCGACCACGTTCAGGATACAAACCACATTTATCGGCGCCTGCGGCGGGCATCTTGTGCATTCGTTCCCGGTGGAGAACCCGCAGCGCTCCCGCGACCCAAATCACGTTCAGTGTACAAACCAATGTTTTAGGCGCCTGCGGCAGGCTGCCTTTGCATTCCTCCCAGGTGGAGGTGGAGAGCCCGCGACCCACCCGCGACCTAAACCACGTTCACTGAACAAACCAATGCCGCACAAGCGCGGCGGCGGATTTTTGCATGCCGTCTGAGCCCGCAAGGACCTCTTCAAGCCCCGCGCATCCACACCAGCCCGTCCAGCAACTCTGCCCTGGCGAGTTGCCTTGATCAGAGAAGGCGGGGAGCATAAAGTGGAAAAAAGGATTGCGTTGCAGTTATCTTGGGAAAGGAGGGGGAGGCAGGGGACGAGGAGAACGTGGAAGAAGAGAGGATGTAAGGAGAACGTGGAGAAAGAAAAGGAGGAGGAGCAGGAGGACGAGGGGGAGGAGGGGGAGGAGGGGGAGGAGGAGGACGAGGAGGGGGAGGATGGGGAGGATGATGATGATGGACGACAATGGGAGGACGATGATGGAGGCCGATGAGGGGGAGGACGACAATGGGAGGACGATGATGAAAGGATGAGGGGGGGACAGGGAGGACGAGGAAGAAGAGGAGGAGAACGAGGAGGAGGAGGACGATGACGATGAGGACGAGGGAGGACGAGGAAGAGGAGGAGGAGGAGGAGGAGGAGGAGGAGGAGGAGGAGGAGGAGGAGGAGGAGGAGGAGGTGTTTTTTTTGGTCACATTTGACCGAACCAGTAACAAAGGGGCCGCACAGCGGCCCGCCAGACTGAGCGGTAGCAAGGGGCAGGAGACCACAGCGCACCCCTCCCAAACGGGGAGTGGGCCTTGGCCAGCCGCCTCCCGACTCGCCTCAGTCCGAGGATCCCGAATCAAGGTCATCTTGGACCTTACCTGCGACCTGGGGAGCGTTGTCCTCCCCTCCTCGCGAGGGTCCGCTCGATCGAGTCTGGACCTGGGATCTGAGTCGAGGGCGGGTGCCACCGCATGGGGCGACTCTCCGCCCTCAAAACGAAACTGCGCAGCTGCGTCCTCTGCGATCGCATCGCTTGGCTCGGGGGCAAGTCTATCCGACGTCGCCTCAGCCGAAGCCTGACCCACGACTCCGCCCCCCCCCCTCCCGGCTCCAACGCCCTCGCTTCCGTCGCAGCAATGCGGGCTCGCAGAGCCGCCAGCCTGTCAATGTAGCTGGCACGAGCTGGAATACGCACAGGCTTGACCGTCTGGTCGTATGAATTCGCCCCTTGCAGGGTGAGTGGAGCTTCATGCTCCGCGCATGTGACTGACAGATCTTTCTTGGGATGCAGTCCTCTCCGCAATCTCCTGAGCGCCGTCGTTCCAGCACTGCTCCTGTCCTCGTCTGTGCGGGGCTGGCGGCAGCGCTTAGCTAACTTGAATATCCTATGCTGGGCGAAATAACCACACAGCATGCAAAAGAAACGTGGCTTCGCCTGGTTTGCCACTTGAGTTGAGGCCAACTGATGGCCGTGACGCGGGGACAGAGTCAAGAGCTCCTTAACCCTCGCGGGGAAACCAGAACAACCCGACTCGGGTGTCGAGTCCTTCGTTCCACTGTAGAAATTCAAACAATTAACGCATCTAGAGCCCCAAAGCCAGGGCTCCCAGGAGTGCCAGCCATCGTTCTTATCAAAAAGTTTGACGGGGCGCTCGTTTGTCGGTGGCCGCTGGTGTTGGACCCTTGGAAACAGTGGGAGGATCCCCGCGGCCAGGCGAGCGACTGTTGGGAGATGCTCCACCGCATTGTTGACCGCCTCTACCTGCGCAACAGACGGTTGCGGGTGTAGTCGGAGGGCCGTCTTAGCTACTAAATCCGCTTGCCAGTTGGCCTGACCTACCCATCTTTCAGGGGCAGGGAGCGCATCAATCACACTCTCTCTCTGTGCGCTGGGGTAAAAACAGCTGGGGCATACCTGTTGTTAACCATGTGCTGTAACGCTCCTCTGCGCAGTCCCGCATACTTGTGTTTGTGACTGAGTTGCTGCTGGGGCGTACTGTTGTGTAACCGAACAGCGTTCATGCAGTCGCTGCAACACGCTTCCCCGTGCCTCGGCACGAAAATAGGCAACGGGCTCAGCTGCAGCTGCTCTGCTGCCTGACTCGTCTGCGGAAGCGACGGCCATGCCGTGCCCTTCGCCGTCGCCACCTGCTGACCCTCGGGCCCCATGAAGACCCGCGAATACGATGCCCTGGGAAGCTCTTTGATGGTATGCGGGGCGCAGGACCCATCTCCAGACACGCTCGAACCAGCGGGGCCGAGATCGTTCCATGACAAAGGCGAACCGTCCGCGGCGAACAGCATGGGCTCGTGCTCGTCGCTTGGTGGCGGCCATGAACTAGCAGGGTGGCGAAACTTGAGTCCTGTGTAGAACTCACTGGGGCCATCCTGCGCTTGCTGGTAAAAAAATCACTGGCCTCAACGGCCGATCGGGCGGCGCGGACCTCAGGACTACCCACGCAGTGATACAATATATGTTTCAGCGAACCGGGCAGGCTGCAGAGGGGGCACAATCCCGAGGATAAATAGCCAGCTTTTGCGGCCCGATCTTCGCACCACCACCCATCACAGGACAGGGACTTAACCATATATTTCCCTTGAGCGTTGAGCCCAATACCCTTGTCCAACGCCTTAGTGATACGCCGTATCGGCTCAACGCACGCGCGTTCCCCCTCCCCCCATCCGAGCTTTTCGGCCAGGGACCTCTCATGGTGCCTCTGGACTCCTTCACGCAGGAGGGATCCTAACATCGCGGGGGAATTGTATAACAGCGAGAGTTCGTTTCCCTCGTCATCCTTCCACAGAAGCGGCCCCAGGGCCTCCCGCCCGATGCGCTGAAGGGACAGGAACATACGGCTAATGGGGCCCCTCGAGTTCTTCCACGTGAGACCGTCCCGCGGCGCCGACCACATGTTGCGCAGCTCGGGAAGCGTGAAGAAGGCGAGCGCGGGCTTAGTTGTCGTCTGCCACGCGGCAGCTGCCCGAGCTAAGGCAGGCGCGACCGCGCTGCGCCAAACTGGATCGCCAAGCAGCGCTGTCTTCGCCCGGGCCGAGACTCCCGCATGAGCGGGTGCGGAAAAGGAAAGCATGACCGACCTGATCTTCTTGAGCTCAGCATCGCTGCAGCCCGTGAGCGCGTCCCCGAAAGACACCGCAGGTCGGGCCCCCGCCGCGTAGATCTTCCCAATCCTACTTGTGTCCCTGGGGAGGGCCCTTCTCAAACGTTTGAGCTTGCGATGCCTACGAATCAGATCGGCAAGTCTACCTTTCTTCTTGCTGCAGGCCTGCTTCACACTCCTCTTAACACCAGGGGCCAGATCAACTCCCAGGGAACCCACATGGTGTTCCCACCGTGCCCGCCAGCGTTCCGAGGCGACGCCCGATCCGCAGCGACAGAGCAGGCGAGGAGGCAAACGTCAACAGTTTGTCGGCCGCCAGTCCGACCCCCAACTCGCACTGAAAAGCTTAGTGAATGTCATCGGCAGCTTTCTCCAGTACCTCCACGACATGGTCGGGGCTTCCATAGGCGCTGACCGTATCGTCGTCAACGTAGGAGGCCAGGTCCACATATCACGGTTGCGCTCGAGAAATTTGCCGAAAGGGCCCGAGCGCATAAACCTTAACATTAATGTCATTGAAACGCGACCCCGCAGGCAGCCCGCACGAAGCATAAAGCGGGACGACGCTGTGATCCGTCCCAAGACGGAGAATGCGCGGTCCGCGCCAAAAATTGAAAGTGACCTTGACCACCGCACTCGGCAGGCCAGCAGCCAGCGGGCGATCTCTGAGCGTGGTCAATCGGAAGGACTCGTAATACTTGGACCCGTCCCACGAAAACCTCCCGTCACATTCCCTTCTCCGACAGGAGCTTCCGCCTTGACCGCCTGGTTCCAGATGCTTTGCTCCGCAGACTTCCCCGCTCCGAACGCCCAATAACTTCTCGGGTGTCTGGCTTCGAAATCCTGGGCCATGGGGCGCCTAGCTTTTTCCCGCAGCCTCACAGGGGCCGCGCAGAGCAACACGGGGCGGGGCCCACCCTTGGGTTTTTCCAAGAGGGGGAAGAGCATCCAGTAAACGGCCTGGGGAAGACTCCGATCTTCTCGATCGCCTGGGAAATGCACGCGGGGGCCTCGATGCCAGCATCGCACAGCATGCCATAGTGTCTGATGTGCACGCCATCCGGACTCTGAGCCGTGTGAGGACTGGACGTTTTACAGAGAGCGCGGATACCTTCGGGCCTCAAGCGCTCAAAACACTGCCTGTCCAGCACCTCGATGGGGCTCGGGGCTTTTTTTTTGGGGGGGGGGGGCTTCCAGTAGGACCCTAACACGTCGGCTTCATTCGCGAGCAGCTTGCGCAGGTCGGCCGAAAACCCACCAGGGGCCGTCTCAATGGTCGTGGACAACCATGTGGGTTTTAAACGGGAAAGCTTATGTATCTTCCGCGCCGAACCTGATACCGCCTCGTGCTGCCGCTGATCCCAGCTCACCTTAGCACGCGTGTCAAGGCCCGATCGGGCGCTGTCAAAATCGTCACCCCAATCATCAAGAGCTTGCTTGATCTTTTCGAGCCAATCCGACATCTGGCCTCTGTCCTGAGGCCGAGGCGCAACTAACTGCCTGGCAGCGCTGACCGTGGCGTCCAGCCTCACGGACAGGCCCTCCCCATGAAAGGGCTGCTGGATGATGCTGCAGATGTTGAACACAGCCTGGATGTCCTGGTTCACATTCATGTCACGGTTCTCATGCACTCGCACGGCCGTGCATTGGAGATCTCTGAGGTTCTGCTGGAGCCAAATCCAACCTTCACAGGCCAGTTCCTCATCCTCGGTGTTCCGTCGTGGTTTCGTAAACACCGAGACCAACTTCGCCGAGGGAGGAAGACCCTTGAGGCCTTTGGTATTGATCGGAGTGTCCAGCTTACCTTCCAACTCGACCTCCATGGCATCCGAAAAACGCTTCCACGCCGCAGAGAGCAGTTCCCACGCCACAATCACCGAATCGACGCTGGCAGCTTTGTTAGCCTCTTCGGCAAGGGCCCCGGGGACCTCCCAACACGGCGGCTCGGGGGAGGGGCCGAAAGGGGGCTCCCTAGGGAGCCTCTTATGCGTTTGATATATCAACTGCTTGATCCCGCTAACACCTGCCTTGATCTGCAACTGCACAGGCTTGTGCGGGCGGTGCGGCCACGTCGCGATGGTAGAGGTCTTACCGACCAACTTCGCAACCGCTGGCGACACCACGAAATAGTCAATGTACGGATTAGCCGCTGCCGTGGCACATGTCTCGGCTGGGGGCTGCAGGATGACCATGTTTGCTTTACGTGGTAACCCCGACAACTCGACGATCGACGACTGCATTTTCCAATCCGCTCCGAAGATTGCCAGATGCTGGCCCTCGAGGGCCTCGCCCGCTTCCCTCAGAATCTTCAGGTTGCGCTTCGAAAGGCCTTCGGAGTCATGGAAGTACCCACAAGCAGCCACCACAGGTTGAGGCCATCGCGGGAGGTCCAGCTCAACAACAATCAGTCGATGCGGCACTAAAACCCCACGTGGCAGCCGACTTGGCCATCTGAGGCCCACAGTGGTCCTCGCAAATATCGCCACGCCTGCTGAGAGTTGCCCACGGCCAGCGAGAACAGAGGGCGAGCAGAGCATGTGCCATCCCATCGCCAGTGCTTTGGCCGTCTTGTCCCCCTGAGTCTCGTCCGTGATACCTATCTCCTGGGCGAAAAGGACCACCGCTTCAGAACGCCTGAGCCGTTTCTCAAGAGTGCCCCAGCTGTTCCCGTTATAACACTCAAAAACTTGCCCTGGTAGGTCGTCGGCCTTAAACGAAGCAGGCGAGGGAGGGCAGCCCGTCCCGAACTTGGAAACTTTGAAACCCGTGCATAGTGGCTGCCCCACATGGGGCTTGGCTCTGCACATGCTGGACGCGGCCCCGCGGTTGCCTCCACCAGGGCCGACGGTCCCGTTGCTCCAGGCTGTTTTTCTTACCGCACCGTTCGCCAGGTGGGGACGAGAAGTCGGCGACACTTCGCCAACGCGGGCCCCACGAGAGGCCCCCGACAAAACACAAAACGAGAGACCTTGCTCCACCACGGGAGCTGTTCCACCAAAAGACAGCGCCTGGGCCCCCACTCTGGAGGCCCTCAGTACATTTACGCCTTCACCGTCAGGAGCCCGATGTCTTCGCCCTCTTGAAAGCTCCTGACGCCAGCGCCTGGCAAATCGCCCGCTTGTCTCCCCGATGCTCATCCCAGAACTTCTCGGCCTCTGCGTCATCAGGGAAGGCTTGAGGTAGTTCTTCGTCATCATCGTCATCCTCGGGGACAGCCGGTGGAGTAGCAGTGCCATCAGGAGGTTGGTCCTTCTGCAACTGAGCAATGAGGGACGCATACTCCTTGAAAGCCTGGCTTTCCAACATCGCCTTGATCTCCTCCTTGCCTTCGAGCATCTCCGTGAGGACCTCAAGGGTCGGAGGAGCAGGCTTGGCATGAGGTACACCACCACGTGGAATAGATGCCACCAGTTGCATTTGGAGGGCCTCAACTTCGACAGCAGCAGCCCGACGTTTAGCCTCCAGCTCGTCCCGCTTGGCGGTGGCCTCCTTGATGGCATCATTCTGCGACTCGACATCACAGGTGAGCTTTGCCAACTGCTTCTCCGCCCTGGCGAGGCGGTGACCGACGTGGGTGTGCTGCGTGATGTCGCTCTTCTTGGCCTCCAGTTTGGCTCGCACGTCGCGCAGCTGGGTGACCAACAACTCCTTAGCCGAGGACATATGCTCCTTGCCGCACGCCTTGATGGCCTGCTCGAGCTCTGCCGCCTGTGCCACCAGGGGGTCCTCCGCTTGCTCCGTCGACTCTCCTCCTGGGCTCGAACCACTCTTGCCGCCGCCGCCGTGGCCGCCGCCCTGGGGAGAGGACTTGAGCAGTAGGTCGAATCGCTTGGTGATGTCTGCCAGCTGCTTCTCAAGCTTCGCCTGGCGCTTATCTCCGAGCACATGTGACCCACCACCACCACCACCGCGAGGACCAGCAGCACTAGAGCCCGTCCCATTGCCGAAAGTCTTCGCTCGATCCAAAACATGCTTGGGCGCTGGAGGAGGAGGAAAAGGAGGAGGAGGAGGAGGAGGAGGAGGAGGAGCAGGGGGAGGAGGAGGAGGAGGAGGATCATATTAATATGATGATGATGCTGATGATGAAGATGCTGATGATGGTGATGATGATGCTGATGATGCTGATGATGATTATGATGATGATGACGATGATGACGACGATGATGATGCTGATGATGCTGATGATGCTGATGCTGCTGATGATGCTGCTGATGATGATGCTGCTGATGATGATGGTGATGATGATGCTGATGATGATGATGATGGTTTTGGTGATGATGATGCTGATGGTGATGATGATGATGATGATGCTGTTGGTGATGATGATGATGATGATGATGCTGATGCTGATGATGATGATGATGCTTATGTTGCTGCTGATGATGGTGATGCTGTTGATGATGATTATGCTGATAATGATGAAGATGATGCTGATGATGATGCTGCTGATGATGATGATGACGATGCTGATGATGATAAGGATGATGATGAGGATGATGATGATGATGATGATGATGATGATGATGATGATGATGATGATGATGATGATGATGATGATGATGATGATGATTATGAAGAAGAATATGATGATGATGCTGATGATGATGATGCTGATGATGATGATGATGATGATGATGATGATGATGATGATGATGATGATGATGATGATGAGGATGAGGATGAGGATGAGGATGAGGATGATGATGATGAGGAGGAGGAGGAGGAGGAGGAGGCGGAGGAGGAGGAGGAGGAGGAGGACGAGGAGGAGGAGGACGAGGAGGAGGAGAACGAGGTAGATAGGACACACTCCAGAGACGCATCCCTAGCCTGATCGTGGGAAAATATGGTGCGACGCTGCAGGGCAGCCAGGCTAGCAATTGGATGCGTCGTGAGCGACGCGGGCAACTGCACTTGCCAGAAGAATGGCTCCTCATCTGCTGGGGGGCGACACTTGCGGAGGTCCCCTCCCCAGGACCAGGGACACGGACATGCGAATCCGCCGGATCAGGTACTCCAGATTTCGTAATAAAGGGAGGGGGGTCTCATTTCGGCGGGGTCTCTTCCAGGCTATCTTGGAGGGCCTGGGGGGTCTGGGGACGATGTTCTGGAGGGTTCTCCCACGGGGGAGATCTGAAATGGCTTGTCTTGGAGGGTCCAGACCCCCTCCCTTTTATTACGAAATCTGGAGTAGTGACCCGACCGGGCGGTACGCACCCCACTGTGGTGCAGAGCCGCGTGCGCACGCGGCGCTCGGTCCTTCCTGCGCTAGAGATGCGCCCCTGGAGCTTGCGCTCGCGCTTCTTCGCGGAGGGGCCTGCCCGAGAAGCTCCTCGCCTCCGGCGCCCTCCCAACTCTCAGGAGGATAAGAAACACACAGACACAATTAATCTTCGATTTCCCAGAAAATATGGGAAAGCATGGGAAGTGGGGGGAAGACAGAAACCCAGAAAATATAGGAAAAAATAGGGAATCATTTTATTTGTGTGTATTTATTTGTGTGTCCTGGGGCCCCTTCACAACTCTTGGTCACGACGCCCATCGCCGCCTTGAGCTCCGCGGGAGCGTCTTCTCCGAGGCGGTGCCAGAAGCGATGGCCACGCTCCCGCGCTTACTGGCCCCGGAGTTCCAGCACGTTTTTTTCCCGAGCCTGGCGGGCTCCGTGTGCTTCGTCGGCGTCTCCTCGATGATGCCGTACACTCCTGGTTCTGGTCGTGAAACTGGGTCTGGGCCGTCTGAAGCGCTGCAATCATGGCGTGCTGGCATGGGATCCCGCTCTTGTGGCCTTTCTTGCCCTTGATGGACTTCTCGTAATTGGCGACTGCCAGCTTCGTGTTGTCGTCGAACTTCTCCCCCACCTCGCCCAGAACCAACCAAGTGCGATATAGGGACGCTGCATGCGTGCGACTCTCCGCGGCGACCTGCGCGAACAGAATGAGCTCGTCCCGCCTGGTGCTCTCGTCCCCCGCTGAATCCTCCTTCTGACGCTTGTCCTGGGTCTTCGCCTCCGGAACCTGCAGGCAGTCCTTGTATCCAGCGCTCATCGGGATGATTACGCCGCAGCTGTCTCACGGGCAGCAATACGATCACGTATGGCAGAAAGCTGTGAAAGAAGTGTGGGTACACTGCTGGTCGCCGAAGCGCGGATTGAGGCTAAATGGCAATGGTGTAAGTGGCGATGCACGGAATCGAGACAATCATGATCTCATAATGGACACTGGAGGCCATCAGGTATACGCACAACGCGTTGAAAGACATTTCCAGGCCCAGTGCAAAAACCTTTGCGCACAGACCCCTTGAGATGTTCTCTTGCATTTTCACGGGAAGCGAAAACGTGGCGACATATGCAACATTGGCTCGTGACAGTGGCCCTAGCTGCCAATGGTACTATACTATGCCCTTCCAAAGAACTCTGAAGCTGATGGGCCTTCAAAGCACCGATAGAAGCAAACCCACGGCCGCACCTGTCCCTATCGGAGTTCAACATATCGCAGAACAAAACATCGGCTCCTTCATCGACGCTGCGTCTGGGAGCGCTGCAACCAGTCCACCACCTGGCATCGGCGCTCCCGGAGGCGGAATCGCAACCGCCCGAGTAGCAGAACGAAGCACTCGAACCTCAATTGCCTGTAGACGCCCGGCCAGCTTGGGGTCGGAGAACACCCGTGCAGGCTCCGCCGCACACATATCGGCAACCTCGGCAGAATCACCACGCACAGCTAAAGCTCCAAAACCTTCAGACACTCGGCGAGCCCACGGACTGGCGTCGGGCAGTGGCCGCCCCCGAGCCTGCGTCGGCGCGGGCGTGGGTGCGAGCCGCTCGTCGACCTGCTCGGCCACGGGCAGGAGCCGAAGACCCCTTTCCGCAAGCAGATCCTCTTCACGATGAAGCGCTTCCGCGAGGAGGAGGAGGAGGAGGAGGAGGAGGAGGAGGAGGAGGAGGAGAAGTGCGCCGTCGGGGCAGCGAGCTGCGGCTGAGCTGCGGCCTGCTGCTGGCGCCTGAGCCGCCGGGGCGCGCGCTGAAGAACGTGGCCGTCCACCGCTCGGGGCGCCAGGTGCCTTGGCGGGGCAAGATGTGCGCGGGCGGGTCGGGCTCGGCGCCGCGCGCGTCGGAGGCGAGGCGCCGCGGTTGGGCGGCGGCGGTGCGTGGCGGGCGGGGAGGTGGCCCATGCGCGTCGCGGGCGACGCCATGCCTGGCCGCTTTCAGGCGGTCGGCCGCGCCGAGCGGCGCGCCCTGCTGGATGCGCTGCGTGGCGACGGCGCGGCCGTCGACGCGGTCGTCGGCGGTTGACGCAGGCGCTCGGCCTGGAGGGCAACTCGCGGTGCGACCGCGAGGCAAGCGGGAAGGGCCGCCATGCGGCCATGTGGAGGAGGCTGCAGAACGCGGCCCTGGGTCTCGCGAGGCCCCCGCCTTGCTTCCGCTGGGCATCCGCCCATCGGGCGCCCGAGGACATCGCAGATGACGTCGAGTTCGATGTCTTCGATTGAATCGGGAACTGCCGTGCGGATTTCTTCGCTGGTTTGGGCGCCCGCGGAGAGCAGATCCCCAAATCCGCGGACGCGCGGCTGGGGAGCGCCTGGTGGTGGCGCGAGCCTCGGCCGACTGCGCGGGCTGGGCGGCGGCTCGCATCTGCCGGTGGGGTCGACGGAGGCGGCAGGGCGAGAGCGGCCAGCTGCCGCGCCGCCGCGCGCCGCCCAGCTCTCGCCGCACCTCTACCAGGCCTCTGGCACGGTTGTCCACTGCAGGCGTGCGCTGCGGCCGCTCGGCCGCCACGGACACATTGCGCGCGCAGCTGGACCTGGCGCCGCGCCGCGCTTCGGAGCTCGGCCGCGGCCGGGCGGGGATGCAACGCCGTAGAGGCGATGGCGAAGGCCAGGTGGCGGCCAGCTCGCCCGCGGCCCGGCCTGCGCTGGAGGCGGCGTTGCGCGACGAATAGGGCCGCGAGCTCGCCTCCGACGCCTGTCCGCTCCAGCTGGCCGCCGACATGGCTGGTGGCGGGGCCCAGGAGCGGCCCCTCCAGGAGGCCGTCGTGGGGCGTGCTTGCCTGCTGTGCGAGAAGTGCGGGGCGGCGGCGGGACTGGCCGGGGCCGGCCGCGCCCGCGGCCTCCAGGGCTGATGCCCTGGCCAGCTGCCGCCGCCAGGGCGGGCGAGCGCAGGCGCCGCCAGGCGATCAATCGCCTGTTGGGCGGCTGCGACCCTCACGCGGGCTGCGCTGAGCTGCGTTGGGCTCGGCGGACGGGTCCGCCACATGGACTTCGGCGTCGAGAGCTCCCTGATGCCGGTCTTCTACGCGGGCTGCGCGGGGCTTAGCCCGCGGTGCCGTGGGGTCGCGAAGGGGCGCGGCCGCTGCGGACTCGCTCGTGCGCCGCTGCTCGCGGTGGCTTTGCTGCGGCTGGCAAGGACAACGGTGAGCCGATGATGAGGATGAGGTGGAGGAGGAGGAGGAGAAGGAGGAGAAGGAGGAGAAGGAGGAGGAGAAGGAGGCGGAGGGCCAGTGTAAACAGAAGATGCATCAACGATGTTGCAGCAAACGCTCCCTCCAAGCTCCCTGTTCAGATGGCCCCACAGGGGTTCATTTCCACTGATTGGGGGACAATCACGCCCAGCCCGCCCTGCCAACGCGTTTTTGGGTGCGACAGGAAGGAGTAATCTACAGGGAGAACGAATGGAGAAGGATGAGGGTGCCGATGCTGATGATGATGATGATGATGATGATGATGATGATGATGATGATGATGAGATGAGATGATGATGATGATGATGATGATGATGATGATGATGATGATGATGATGATGATGATGATGATGATGATGATGATGATGATGATGATGGTGATGATGATGA